TCTATGGTGGGTGGGAGGACCGACTCCACCTCCAGGGAGGGGGGGGGGGGTTTGCACAAAAATTGTCAATTTGACCTTAGGGCCTTCAAAATTGGTAGGAGTACAGATGGCAGGATGGGAACACTTATGGTGGGTGGCAGGACCAGACTCCGCCCTTGAGAGGAGGGGTTCCCCTTTGGAGTAAAGGAGACAGCATGGGAACAATGGCGAAGGAAGAGGCCTCAGATCCACTAACCAATCAAATCCATTGCCTTTGTTATTTACGATCTAGATTTGACTCCTTGATGTGTTCATGTTCCATTCGACAAGAAAGGTAAGCGCAATGATAGGGAAGAAAGTACTAATTTCTTCGAGAGAGGAAAATTGTTTTGTTTCTTGCTTCAGGGTTACGACCGCTACCCAGCAGGGTTTGCGACTCAATGAAGAGTCACTGTTTCTCTTCGCCTCGATGTCATTCTTGGTGAACTTAACCAACCGCTGATAATCTTGGATTCTCATTCAATGGTATACCCGTGGAGAATGGCTTGACAACATTTGTAAGTACCATTCAGGGCTTTGGTTGCCTACCAGTTGAACCGTCAATGGCTCACTATTTTCATAAAATGAACAGACTTTGAAACTTCTGATTATAGGCGCAAGCATCGGTTCATTCTGAACACATCTTGCATGTCCTATTGGTCGTCTGTGTTCGTGTTTAGGAAAATGTCATTTGTTCCAAATGAGGAGGGGTAGATCTGCAGATAATTACAACCCTACGTGACAAGTGATACAGGTGACATATACAGGGTGTCCCAAAATTATTGGCGTCGAAACTCAGAAATTTTTAAGGTAGAAATTATATATCAAATTCACATAACCTGTTATTAATTAGTTGCATAAGAAGGTTTCTTTGCAACATGCAAGGCTACTGATGTGGAACTCCCAATATCTTTTAGATGGAGGAGGCTCATTCAATGCCACTTGCAATCATTGACACGCGCGAGGTGGAAGGGCATCATGAAATTCCTTGGGATTCTTGTAATAACCGTATAGGAGGCTATTAAGCGATATAGAAAAAGAAGCTTGAATCAGAGACAAGCCAGGAAAGGTAGAAAGGTAGAATGTTTCTGAAGATAGGACTATTAAAATGTTCCGTCTGCCAATCGGTCGGGATTCTGGGTGACCCATCAAAAGGAAATCAACGGGCACGGCTTACAGGAGTTATAGCGATGTAAGAATGACATGCAGGAGCTTCACTGCTGTTCCTATCGTATGCAGAGATTTCGCTTCAATTCCGATCTCAACAGATATTGCCGGGCCAAAAATGCAGATAGTCGAAAGTGATGACGCGCAACCCTTCGTCGTTTTCTCTGGTCAAGAAATTTTTACGACAAAGCCATTCCTCAACAACCAAAAACGTTCGTGTTCTGGAAAGAAACGCCTAACGTGTAATATCTCTGCTATCAGATTAATAAAATGATGTTTCCCGAGGAAATTACTGGCAAGGGTCATGGTCAAGCCGCACATTGTTTCCTCGGTGCAGGCATGAAAATCGACCAAGACCGGTACTCAAACGGCGTACTGATGGAAGTAAATGAAACAATGATCTGACTACGTTTTCTGAAACATCTCGTGGCCCTTCCAGCAGGAAGCTTCTCCAACCCACAGAGCCAAGCTTGCCCGCGAGTGGTGCCGACGACAGCTGCCCGACTTCATTGGTGAAGAGGGATGGTCAGCCTATTTTCCAGAACTTGACTCACTTGACCCCACGACGGGTCCCTGGTTAGAAGAAAACCTTTTGAGCTTGCAATCCCAGTTTGGAGTCCTAGAATGCAAAGGCTGAAGAGTGGCTGGGAAGAAATGGAGGAGGATACCTGCATGCCACATGCGATCAAGTCGAGAGCAAACTTTGACTTCTATCCCTGCTCATGGGGGATATTTTTAAAGGCGACTGTAGCATGTTGTAGCACATAGTGTTGGCTAACGTGCATAGAGATTCCATCGTCTTTCGCAGCAGATATGTTTGAAATATATTGCTGTAAATCGGCGCCAATAATTTTAGGACACCCTGTATATCACCTGTATCACCTGTCATCCCGTTGATCATCTAATTTCTCGAACGGGCACTAGTAACGTCTTTATTCATCCCTAGCCAGGATTGTGCACTAAATCGTCCTTGCTTCAGGGAAACGAAACTCAGCATTCCTTTCGTTCGGAGCTTTCTCGACTTCGCGCTCGGTTGACGAACGTGGTCGGCCTACCTGATCTTCAATTTCCTGGCGTAATCAACGGCATCTCTGATCTTTCTCTGATGATGGAGCTCAGAGCTCTTTATTCCCTTCTGCACTTGCCTGTATGAGGTAAGTTTGAGTATCACCCTTTTCAAAGCGCGTTGAGTAACGCTGACAGCATGCTCATTCTGCTTTCAAAGGATCCAAGTCCCCGAGACGTACGTCAAAGCAGGAAGGACAGCAGTGTGGAAAGGTGAGCTTGCAGCCGGATGTTTGTCTTCCTCACTACTCCCTCGATAGTCACTAGTGGTTGAAAGTCTTCGATGAATGGCTCTTCCAATCGTGACTTTTTTCCTCTTTTTTTTCTTGAAGGGATTTAAGAAAAATTTTGACCGCTTCTTGATTTCAGAACTGTGATCGCTTGTATCAGGAAAAACCGCTTCAGTAGTAAACCTTCTGCGCGTACTCAAGCGATCCCAGTTTTGAAACCAAAAAGCAGTTGGGTTCAAGTTTAGGTTTGACATATCAAGATTTTTCTTGAATCCCTTCACGGGAAAAAGTTACGATTGTAAGAGCGTTCCACCGAAGGCTTTTGACCGCTACTGTATATCGAGGGAGTAGTGAGAAAAACAAACATCCGCAAGCTCACCTTTCCACACTGCTGTACATCTTGGAGACTTAGACTTTTCGAAAGCAGAATTTCACTTTATTACAATTAATTTTGCATCACTTCGGCGGATAACCGATGGATAGCATAGAAGGACAGAAGTTGCTCGGAAATTTCGGCAGGCACTATCAGACATGAAGGAATTGGGGATGAAAGTCATGGTCATTCCAAGGTTTTGAAGTTCCATGGCACACGATCCCTTCGATTATTCGCTCGCTGAAGGTCAGGAACTCTGTTTGCAATGCCAAGAGAATTAGAGCCCCCATGTTTTCCTTCAGCCAAGGACAGGCGGATCACAGCTTGGTCGAAATCTGACCCCTGTTTTACTCGGCTGACATGCCGCTCACTTCAGGGCTGGCGATGGCACCATTCTTAGTCGGCGGACTGTAGGGAGACGCCTAAGTTTTGCTGGTATTTATGGGAAGAGTTCAATCAAAAAGCCGTTCATAGGTCTAAAAAATAGTAGAGCTGGAGCAGAGTGTGCGCGCTGTCACCTCATTGAACTTCAGCTGGCTGTAGTAGAGTTTTTTTTCACAGACGAGAGCAAGCTCAACCAATTCAGGAAGCGGTGGTATACGACGTCCATTTGGGAAAAAGTTCAATCCAAAGCATACCCTACCCGCAATCAAGCATGGTGGAGGGAGTGACGGTATATGGTGCCTCCTCCTCAAACGGAATGGCCCGTTTTCGGACAATTGACGGCATGATGACATGGAAGTACTACAGGAACATGGTGGTTGGTCGACACCTACTTGCCGAGGGCACAGCATCACATGCCAGCAAGGTAACGATCCGAAACGCACATCAATGGTTGTTAAGGCGGTCTTCAGCGGGCAGCAAACCAGACCTCCGGAGTGGCCAAGCCACTCAACGGATCTGAATCATATATAGCACATGTGGGAAGAGCCTAAAAGGCTTTTTCGACCAACCTTGTAGAAAAATTGAGGAAAATTTGCTCAGTAAGCGAAAGAGTGGAACGCTATGCCAGTGTCTACCATTCAAAAACTAAGCTTCTCGATGCTTTCTTGTTGCAATGCTATCATCAATAGCCGAGACGTTCCTAGCAAATATAGACGTTTCCGGTGTTTTACATGTTGCTACTCCGAAATAAAGCGGTTTGACACGTGACATGCACAGCATTGTATATATATTGAGAATATTATATATATATATATATATATATATATATATATATATATATATATATATATATATATATATAATGCAATGCCGTGCATGTCATGTCATGGAACGTTCCCCTCACATGCGCATTCCAAATACAGGGTGACCCAAAATTATTGTTACCTGGAAAATTACATTATCTCTTTTAATGCTTGACCAAAAGCAAACGTGCTCGAGAAATCCTTCATTGCGACCGAGGCGGATTCAAAGTGAGGGTACCACAGTGATCTTCCTTCGGCTTTCAGGACAAGCTCCAGATGCTTAGGGTAGGAGTCGATGACGGATCGCAGGTACTTGACGTCAATTTCATTCCATGCCTTCTTCAAAGTCTTTTTAGGCGACCCGATACTTCTGTCGCCTTCTGCAGAAGAAGAAGGCCTTCTGCTCGACCACCGACCATATCGAGTAGTCCAATGAGTTGAAGCCGGAGGAGGCGACTTGTGCGCGCGCGGAGTCTTGCTGGAACACCCAGTGTTGGTTTCAAAAGTGTGCCTGGCCTCAAGACAGTAGTTCATTTTCCAAGATGTGCTCGATGTGAAGGTCCGTGTCGCTCTTCACGCCATGATCGATGGAAAGGAGTGGAGCTTTTCCGCCGACGCACACTCCGGCCCATCACATACGCAGAGTGAAAGCTGCGAGAGACAAATCTCCCCTCGAAGTTGACTCGCTGATGGGATGAGCGAGCGCCCACGTGTTTTGGTCACTCGTCGCTGCCTCCACGGTGATTAGCACCACGTGCTCTACTGCAAGCATGGCCCGGCATCTTGCTAACGCTCAGACTGTGTTCTATAAAAAGCTAACTAACATCGAGGAATGGAGAAATTTCATTCCATATCTGCGATTGAAATCTATGTGATTACGGAATTGTTTGCAGCCATAATCTATGGAAAAAATGATTTCCAAGGTCGATTTCGAGTTAGTCTGAAAAATGCCAAATTAACTCAGAATAGTTCGAGATTGTGCCAGGAAATAAGATGCAGGCTCTTATGAAGCACATCTTCTGTGTTGTACTCATTCTTCTTCTCAACAACGCGCATAAATATTGTCATAGATTTGCAGTACTGTAAGTAAATTGAGGAGAATATCGAGACGCACTGACTACTGTGTTTTTGGCAGATGAATGTAAGTTTGCTTCGACAGTCCACCATGTGATAGGGTTCTTCTTCAGAGTGTGATAGATCGAGGTAGAGACAGTCTTTGCTATCGTCGTTGGATGTTAATGCAGGAATCCTACGAAATAGGACCATATTACGATCTTGCCCTATCCCGAAACCGAATTGATTTATTTATTCATTTATAATTTGTAATTTGCCAGCCTTACCGATAAATAACACTTGGCTCAGAGTCTATGCTTGATAGGACGCCTTCTTGGTCAGCATCTGTGTGTCCGATCCACGAGTTTATTCGAAAATGTCCGAATGATTCTGGAATATCTTAATCGTCATCGTTGTTATTTTGTTTCCGCTTTTACTATATATTTTCTGCCTGTTAATCGACTATGCTGTCATGAGATCTCATTGTATTCGAATGACATCTTTCCCCCTATATCAGATGTACACATAGTCACTGATTCAAAGCTAAGCTTAACAAGGCAAAAATTGATCTACTGAAAACTGATCTGATGAAAGTATTCCAAACAGCGGGTCCAGATCACTAGGTCTTTGCCTTTTGTTGCTCTCTCTAGGTCCTTTTTGCTTCTGAAGAGAAAAAGATATCATTTTTCCCTATTTTCCGAGTGCTTAAAGCCTCTAGAGTCTTCGTTCGCTCTCATATACTCTCGCAAATCGAATTGCCCGGCTAACGCCGGGCTCTCCTCTTTCTCGCGTCAAGATGGCCTGCCGCCCCTGTCTCTCCCATACCCTACGCCACAGAAGGAGAGGACTTATAAATTTCTGGCCAAACACACTAACTTCGTGAGCGCCTTGCCTGTCATGAGCGGATTCCTGCTCAACTTATGTATATCGAAGTGACTCGGTTCATTCCACTCTTTCATCTTCAGTCGTCTCACCTGCCATCATCACTCCGGAATACCGCCTGTGCCCCATTCAAACTTGGAAGCCCCTGATCCAAATAAATAATTTTCCCAATCCTGTGAGGGGGTTCTAGTCGTACCCCTACCGGCAGCATTCCCGTACTGCCGCTTGCAACTCTATCAAATTTAAGCGGTCTAGGCCTTACAATTAGACCATCATTTATGTGCATGCCCCGCCGCTGTAGGTAGAGTCTAGTCGTACCACCTACCTGCAGTGTTTCTATTCTGCCACCTGTACTCCTGCCGAGCAGGAATGAGTTTACAGGTAACATACACACCAACGCACACACTGCCATACGTAGGCAAATCATCACTCCTCACCTTTTCTTCTCCAAAAAATGAATAGTGAGTAGAAGCCGCATATCTTGCAGTGCAAATCGAAACTAGTCAATATCGATTACCACTGTCGATCGCATACACTGCATTTACAGCTATATTCCCTCCATATGCCTTCATCTTCCTTGAAGTTGGAACACTAAAGGGAATACAGGGAGCCCTATCGTTCAATTACACAACGGATAGGTGTAGCAAATCGGTACATCGGCCAACATCCCCTCGCTAAGTCTCATCACGCCTGAATCCCCCACGTCTGTAGTGAGCAAAGCTGTGAACTAACGGCGCGTAATTTGGAAAGCTTCTGAAAAAGATTGCCGGCACCGGATTCCACGCTCTCCTCGTAGTCCAGTCTTGCCTCCTGTCTCAATCCCATCTGAATTCGGACCCTCTGATTTCAAAGAGCAGTCTTTCGCAAACCCTACCTTCAGTGAGTTGCGTATAGTCAGGCCACTTATCAGTGTTCTCATCCTGCCGCCTGCACCCCTTACAAAATTGAGCGCTCTATTCTGAGGTAGCAACTTCGTGCATGCCCCACCTTGACTTGGCAGCCTCTGGTTCCGTCACATACTCTCAGCGCTCCTTTTCTCCCCTCTATCCCTACAAAATTTGATTCCCTTAGGTACACAGGAATTGTAAAACCACTCTCATCGCACGTCACGTAGTCCGTGGGTGGAGCCTAGATTAAATCATGAGTTCCCAGGCAACTCGACTCATTCTCACTTTTTTCATCCCAGCTACGTATACGTACGTATACGACTCGTCTTCACTCGTGTGCGAGCACCAGCAAAAAACCATTCGCTTCTGTCTATCGCGATCGCCATCCAAGGTAGACTCAGGATTCGACGAAGATGGCAATGTGAGGAGTCTTTAGCTGCTGTCGCAGCTGTTTCACGTGATCGACAAGCACATCCTCCATCTCGCAGCAGGCCTACCCTTAGATCGTGAAGACCCTATGAGAGCCCACTCGACTGTTCTTCTTGTCCATCTGTCATCATCTCTTCTCATTATATGACCGGCCCACCGAAAGTTTACGATCTTCATGTACTCCACCGGATGGCGGAGTCGAGACATTCTGCGCATATCGGAGCTGCGGAGCCCGGCTCGATATTGTGTGAGTCGGTTGAACCTCAAAAGACATCGCTCGAGCGCTCTGTGACTTGTGTTTAGAGCCTTTGACGTGGATGCACTGGTCACCCAAGTCTCCGACCCGTAACGCAGGAAGAACTGTGGAATCGATTAGCGCGACGATCCGGGTCAGCCAGATGGTTGGTGACTTCTTCAAGAGGTCTGAAGGCTGCCCAAGCTGCTTTCTGCCGTCTCACCAGTTCTTCCCTCATGTCTTTGTCCATGTTCATGGAAAGCCCGAGATAAACGTACGACGAGGTCTCCTTGATGGGCGTACCATCGATCTTGATTTGCCCTTCGTCGGCCCAAGCATTCTTCATGAACTGTGTCTTTGTTCGTTGATCAGCAGCCCTACCCTCTCTCCTGCTTTATTAAGCTCAGCAAACATAGTCTCAGCTTCCGCAATGTTGCTTGAAAAGAGAACGATGTCGTCCGCAAAGCGGAGGTTCGAGAGGAACCGTCCGTTCACGCAAATGCCCTTTTCGTCCCAGTCGAGCGACTTCATAACCCACTGCAGCGCAGCTGTGAATAGCTTCGGCAAAATAGTGTCGCCTTGTCTCACACCCTTTCCTATGGGAATGAGGGGAGGTCGTTGGAACAGCTTCACCGTTGCGCTGGAGCGACTGCTGCAGTCAGCTAGTGTTCTTATGTAGGGAGGGTCCACTCTTTGATCGACCAGTGCTCGTTTCGACGCTGCCAATAGCTTTTTCATAGTCGACAAAGGTAAAGACAAGAGGCATTCGGAATTCTCGACACACTTCGACCATTGCGACCGCTTGGATGTGGTCTAAGCAGGTTAACCCGTTCCGGAATCCGGCCTGCTCTACAGGTTATGCTTCATACAGCGTTCGCGATATGCGGGTCAGAATGACCTTCGTGAATTGCTTGTAAAGCACACTTAACAAGCTTATTGGGCGGTAGTTGCGAAAATCATCCAGGTCTCCCTTCTTGTGAACTATGACCATTCTCGAGTGATCATCTCCTTCTGGAGGTAAGATGTCATGTTTTGCGAGAAGAGCATGAAGTTTGTAGCCTCCTGCCAAAAGTAGGTCGGCTGAGATCTTGTCGGGGCCTGAAGTTGTGCCCGTTTCATGCTCGTAATCGCAACTCTCACCTCCGAAGGAAGGATCCGAGGTGCTCTACCGTCAGTGGGGATTCTAGGTTTTCGCACGTGTGTCGTGGATCGGTAGAGTTTGGTGTAAAACCTCCGTGTAACTTCCTCCATCTCAAATCTCGATGTTGTAAGCGTTCCGTCCTCTCTCTTCAAACACGAGAGTGGAATACTGTGGCCCTGAAGATCCCCATGGCATCTTCTGAGACTAGTTCTAAAAGGTTTGAACAGGTTTCTGCATTTTCGATCATAGCTCCGCCCACCTCAGTTCAAACCCCACCCACTTTAAAAATTTGATCGCTTTTCTACGGAAACCTCGCTCCACCTTTTTCCCGCGCTCTAGAATGTTTTTCACAAAGTTATATATCAATTTGAGAGGTCTCTTCAATTCGAGTGCATACCCCGCCCATATACAGGGTGCGCCAAAATTACTTGCTCAAAGTTGCAGAGTTCGACCTATTGACTTGATGCGGCGATGATCTCTCGATTAGCCGCGAACATGTTAGGCACTTCTTCCTTGATCATCAGCACAAGCTTCTATCATCAGCTCTTACTCCTTCAAAAATGGTTAGACCTCTTCCTCTCAGACCCGCTATCATTCAGTTACACCAGATGGGTCGCTGTTCCAAAATCATCGCAAAAGTTCTATCAGTCAGCAGAAGAACTGTGGACTTCACCATCAAACGATTCGAGGAGCTCGATACTACAGCAGATCACAAAGGAAGGGAAAGAAAAACAACGGCAGTATTCACTGGAAAAGTTAAAGTTGTACGGGATATTGTGCGACGCAATCCGAAGAGGTCGAGGAAGATTGCCAAAAAGCTGGGATTAAGTCATAATTCCGCCCGCCGTTTAGTTTGAAGAGAAGCTGGGATTGACACCTTATCGACGCGGAAGTGCACCTTCTCACTGCATCCATGAAGAAAAACCGGATCCAGAAATGCAAGATGCTCCTCCAACGGTGCGCGTCGGCGCGCCACCGAGACATGGTCTTTTCTGATCAGAATCCAATCCAACGAATTATTCCGTATGGTCGCTATTGGAGAGCAAGGCCTGCTCTAAGCAACATCACTCAATTGATTCACTGAAGAGGGACCTGCTCAGAGCATGAGAAGAAGTACCTTTGGAGTACCTTCGCGCCACAGTGGACGCCTTCCTCTTACGTCTGAGGGCCGTGCCCGAGCCAGTGGAGGGAGTTTGAATTGAGTATGTGTAATGGCTCAATATGAATAAAGTGTTGTAGAAAATTTAGTCCTCAATCTATCGTTTAACCCATTTTACAGCGGTGGATATTTGAGCGAGTAATTTTGGCGCACAATGTAGGTGGAGTTTCGCTATGGTCATGCACGCATCGCATGTATGAGGTCTTGTCCACTCCTTTCGTTTTGTTCTGACTTCCAAGCCTAGGCTGAATCGAGTTATGAATACAACTGAAATTGAGATTGAAATCCATTTTGAGAAAGCTCCGCCACAACAAGTGTGTCTCCTTCGTCTGGTTCGTTAACCCAATCCGATCCTCACCTTTGACCATTTTTTTCCCCATG